ATAATTGCTGATGTAATACAGTATTTTTCCTATAGTTATACAAAAACACAAAATAAGAATAAGTATTTATATTTGTGTACAAGCTGTTTAGATTGTCAAAAAGCCTGTGTTTTTAGGGTTATTAACAAAGTTCGTGTACTCAGACCAGTAATATTTGGGGTCACAAGTTTTTGCCATGGATATTTTGTGGGTCAGAAGATAAAAAGTTTGGGAACCACTGCTGTAAGTGAATAAACGATTGCGATAATTAACTGAAAGCAGCGCAGTGGTTTTAAAGAAACATGACGTCACTGCTGCTGCATCTCCCGAGTTAATCTGGAGAGATTTTGTTTTAACTTTAGATGAAAATCTTTGATGTTTTTCCCATGAAGGTTCTCAATTCTTTGCGTAAAAATCGCCCCCAAACACGTCATGCTGACCCCCTCGTGTTACGTCATAGTTTAAACAACAGCACAAGTTGGAAAGCTTCATAAACTGCGCCTCTCTGGTTGTAAATTCCATGGTTATGGAGGAACAGGATGCCAGCTGTCATGAGTTGTTTTGCTACAGGTCTCCTCCACACACATACCCCCACCCCATCCTGTCCAGGACCAGTTCTGGCTCCTTACAACCAGCAAGCTGACATTTGGGCCAGTCGAGGCATGCTACTGTGATGAGCATCAGTCCTCTGAGGACAGGGCAGGGGACCTGCTGATTCTCTCTGCTAATTTAGAGCTGAGAAGACAGATGGCCTCTTCGTCACTTCAGGGTGCTAAAGATGGGAGGTAGTGTGGAAGAGCTGCAGCTTCTGTCTTGCTCTTTTAACAACCTTTGACATTAACACGCATATTGAGATTTTGCTAATTCTGCAGCGCCTGAATGTCAGTCTCATTAGAGGACTGTCTGAACATCACAGCATCACACTAACATATAGGTTCAGTGTGGAGCCAGAAACAGCCATGGAGGTTCTGTAAAACAGTGAGTCTTGGTCATGTGACCACCTGATCTACTGTAGAGGTGCTAATGAAGAGTCTGGATTCAGCTAAGGTCTGATTATGTAAAAAATTATAAAAACTAATAACGATAATATAAACAAAAATACTAATTTGAGTGTATATAAGCTATATTGTTATACAGAGTGTAGCACTCTAATAAATCATGCTACAGTTGTTTAGTACAAATTATTAACTATTACCAGAGTTGTAAAGTAACTAAATACAAATACTTCTTTATTGTACTTAAGTAAAATTTTTGGGTATCTGTACTTTTCAGCCTATATTTTACTTCTTACATTTTCACACAATTATCTGTACTTTCTACTTCTTACATCTTTTTAAAAAAAGAAGTAAAAAGTTCTTTTATTTCATTTTTGCTTGTTTTCATTCCAGCTTATTATTGTAAAAAATAAATACTATCATATAAATTGTGCCTCCTTGATAGAGTGAATTTAATTTGTGGTTGAATGAGAAGTATAAATATATAAAATTCTGATACTGTATTAGTTTGTACACAAACAAATCATGTCACACTCCAGCAGGACACAACCATTAAAATAAAAGGACTGTACTTAAGAAGTATTTGTATTTCATGAATTATATTATTACATTTGGTCGCAGCCCTCAGATAGATTTTTATTTTGGGGGAAAAGTTTTGAGCAGCCTTGATATATGTATATAAACTGAAACAGCTGGACTAGTGCATCCTAAATTTAATACCAATTAATTATTTTAATACAGTATAGTCATTTCTGCATTTTTGGGGGAGGTCACCTCCTAATAAATATCCTTATCTAACTGCTCATTTTAATTCAATACTTTTAATACTTAAAAAAAGGATCAGAACTTTTACTCAAGTAATATTCCTAAAGGAGACTTCAACTTTTACCAAAGTAATTTTTTGGTAAGATACTTGTACTTTCACTCAAGTATCACTTTGTGGTACTTTATACAACACTGAATATTACACGCTTTGCCTCTGATTTATATGTCATATTTACACAGTGTAAAATAATATTATATATTTTACTATTTTTAGGTTTACATTACACAAACCTGGCCTGCTGAGAAGATGTTAGCTAGCTGTGAGCAAGATTTCACTTTAACATAAATTTATCAAATAACACCAAAAAAAAAATAAAAAATACAAATAATGTATGACACAGCCCCAGTTACACTAGTTACTTTGTGAGCTGTCACCCTGTTTGGATGCCATTTTTTCTCCTCCAGGAAGTCACAGATGCTGACAGTGGATGGGATTGGCAGGGCCCAGTCTAGTGATATTTAACTGTATGATTGCAACGCTTTTAGTTAATTTATTATTTTATGTATTTTTTCATTGGGTGGGTGGCATGTATTTTGCAGGCACAAAGGTCAATTTTATACCACAATCAAGCTGTTACTTTGAATTATGAAAATGCTGCACATAAAAAATACATTTGACTTTCTATCAAAGCCAAACTAAACACCTTGAAATTGGCCTCTGTCTCGTTAAGAATCTCCTACCATTTCCAACACTCCCACTTCAGCACATTTTCAAACAATGTTGCCGAGGAGGGGTGCTCTGTGGGGCAACACTGGATGTTTCTGATGAGGGAATGACAGTATAACATGATGTAAAGATAAAAATGTAATTTTGCATAATACCCCTTAAATTAAATTTGATTGCCATAAGTTAGTTGGCAGAGAATATGTTACTAGTAATGTTTAACAGTATTATAGTAAAGGTTGGTGCCTCAACAAATTCTTTTCATCTTTGTGGACCCAATGACAGTCAGCAGCAATTCCTTCAACTGCATGACAAATTTCTTTAATTTCTTGCATTGTAGAAATCATTTAATGAGCAAAACATATTTGCACTTACGTAAAAAGTCTTTGCCTTTTGACCTTTTAAAATTGAACTGACCACATAAGGTCATTTTGTTACAGAAGGAGCAGATGACAAATCATGTGTGACACATCTCACTCAGATTTAACAGCTGCTGGTGACAGACTCACAATAACTGAAAACTAATCTTCACCACAGAGCTGCTTTTTATTTCATGTGAGAAACAAATGACCAAACGTAAGATTACAAAATATATTTAAAATGTTGCTTTTAATGCAATTATTCTTTCGACAGCAACAAATACAAAGGTCATTTTCCCCACAGAGGGTCTTAAGATTTGAAGAAATATATAATTTTTTTAACAAACCGACAATGAACAGAAATAATACTTGTTTTCATGAGAAGTCTGTATACATTAGAAAAAACAAAACCGTTGAATAGAAGCCAATCAAATACATGAGGCAAAGAGTTTAAATAATTTATAGTGGATGGTAAATTGTATATTTAATGTTGATAATTCATCATCATAAAACACTTCAAAGACGACTTTTAAAAAAACAAGACAAAACTAGAAGAGTTTACTTTCACATTCTGAAAAATGACAAAGTTTGACTTTTGACTTCAGTCCAATTCAGTTCCCTCCAAAACTATTTTTTAAAGCTTTAAATTTTCTAATGTAAACACTAACCACATTTCTACAAAATGTTCCAACAAATGGCATGAAGAAAGAAAACCAGGTGGGTTTGACTTATTTCGAAAGATTTTTTTGTTTGTTTTATTTTGAAAGGCATGACTGAGGTTTTCTGGACGTAGTTTCTTGATCTTCACGGGCGCTGAAGCACCTCACTCCCGATGGACCAACACGAACAGACCCAGCATGAAGAGCACAGCATACTGCAGGACAAAACATCAGATTACATTTTAAAGCTCTCAGTCTGAGGCAGAATAAGTGGACAAAACAATAAACTCACTTTGAACTTGGGGTAATCGTTCATGAGAATGGTGACGATTCCAATGTACGGCACAAACCTGGAAATGATTTTAAAAAAGAGATCTTGTTTGCAGTTTATACAAAGTTAATCGTTTCTTCTTGCCTACATCTACAAAATGAATATTTCAAATACGAAACATATTTGAAGCAGTCATAAGTGTCACATATTTCACAGACATTAGCAAAAAAAACTAAGTTAAATAGAATAGGATATAAAATCATCTTAATATTAACATTTATGTTCTCTCTCAATTCAGGGGGTTGCAGCCCATGTTAGACCACCAGGGCAACACAGCCTTAATCTATACAGTGCTTTAGAGAATCGATACAGAATCAATCGATTGGGAAATGAAATATTGCAATATGTCATTGTATTGATGTTTTTTACACCCCTAATATGTTGTGCTCTGTTTAATTTTACTTATGCGTCTTTCACCGTTTATGTTCATTGTTATGCAATGGTCTGCTCAAGACGTGTGTTATACATAAACCTGTAGGACAGTGGCGGAGTCAAACATTTTTCCCAGGAGTGGCCAGACTGGGACCACTACTCACACAGGGGTGGTCAGGAAAAATTACATGATTTTTTTTTTTTTACTTGAAAGTTTCTGCAGATCTTTGTGTTTTGGTCATTTCCTTATGTCCTTATACAGGCAGTGAGTACCTTATAAACATAGGCATCAGAACCATTTTAAAAGTGGGGGCACATGCTGTAAATTTTGGATGAAATAGATACCATTTCCTGCATTCTGCTGTATTTTACCAGGTTGTTAAACATACTTTTACCTACTTAAATTAAATAATTAAATCAAGTGTTAACTTGATTTAATTATTTCAGAGACAGATTTTTTTTCATTAAACTAGTTCCATCATCCTGTTTTAAACTCACTGCTTTAGCTGAGATAAGATTAATGTGACACAATTTATTATATCCAATGATTTAGGGGTGCTTTTTATTTTTATATTATTTATTGATTCATTTTTAATTGTAACACATCATTGTGCCAAATAATGATGACCCTCAGCTGCATGTTTAAAACTAACATTAAAAAATTTACTCAATGAATTTCGAGGGGTGTTTCACTTTTTCTGATTTAGTGATAGGTCTACTCATAATAAACAGAGCATCATGCAGCCTTCATAACATAAAATGGCACTGTTATGGTGACAAAAAAATAATATTTGTCACCATAAGTCCAAAAGTTGACACCATAAGTCAGATTACAGGCATATGTTCTGTATATAAAGATAATCATCACTTCCTTGTCATTACTCTTCTTCAGTGATAGAGCTTTGGTGATGTTTCAAACTGTTAAACACTGCCACCAACTGTTCAGGAGGATTATTACACCCCTAAATGTTGTTTCACCGCGGAAGGGGTGTGTACAGCAGGGTGGCCAATGGGATGGCCAAAGATTTGTCTGTGGTGGCCATGGCCACCCCTTGGCTCCGCCCCTGCTGTAGGAACTTATATAATGCCTTATCTTATGGACCCCAAAGCGCTTTACACTTCACCCATTCACACACTGATTGGTGGTAAGCTCCAGCCATAAAAAAAGCAATAATGAAGACCGTGAAAACAAAAAAGAGAAGATGAAACTAGAGTGAGAATCGGTGTCATCTTGCATTTGAAGAACTACACCTTGTATCACCACCTGACCAAACATTATTTCTGTAACAAGCTAAAGGGAGGTGATCAAGTCTGAAGAAAACATTTAAAAGTCTAAAATAATCTCAACTCATTCAGACCCAACAACATATTTGTGCCTAAATCTTCAAAGTCTGATGAGACATAAGCATCATGTCATCATTTCAAAGACAAATCATCTTTATAGTTTCTTCAAACACTAAATTAAAACGTTTTACTCGACTGCAAAGACCCACCAGATTCAAAAACTTAACCATAATGACCAAACTCAGAGCACTTACCCTCTTGCTCGTCCCACCACATCTTTTTTCTCCAGCCAGTGTTGACCCTGCTTGTACAGCCCTCGGTCATCCACAGCGTTGTTGTCTCCTTTGGTCAAGAACTTAATGTCTCCATTTTCCCTGTGAACAAAGCATCAGCAAGAACCTCAGACCACGAACACACGAACGTCCACGTTTTTAATCCCAGAATGAATAAATATCATGTTAGTGTTTTTCTGACCAACATTTTAGTGGCAAAGATTCAACGGACAGAAACTCAAAGAGCAAAAAATTAAATATGAATTCATACTTTTCATGGATCTTTAGTACTCTGTGCACTATAGGGATCTCTCTGCCTTCTATTCTGAAGACGACGATCTCTCCAACTCTAATGGGATCTTCTATTCGGTTGGTCAAAAACAAAAGGTCTCCTCTGTGGAAAGCTGGCTCCATACTCCCACTAAAATTAAGATCAACAAGATAAACAAATATTAACAAGTAGAAGTTGAATTAATTAAACAGGGTATGTTACACTATTAAAATTCAACAGCCACCCTTCATGTCAGTTTTAAAATGATCACCTTGAAGAAATTTATAATTATTACAGATCAGTACTGATGTCAGAAACAACACCAGTGTATTAAGGGTTTCTTATTATAACATTGTTATGTTTGATCTATTATGTGTTAATTGAAATAGGGTAGATACATGTCCGAAATATTAACAACACATATTTAAAAAGCTGTAATAACATAAGAGTGAGGTTTGTTTGTATGAATGCCTGTGATTCAGCCGTAGGCCAGCAGAGGGCGAACTCAGGCATTGGACTGTATTTATACGGGAACTTCCTGTTTTTTTATTCAGTGTGTGGTTTTGACTTGTCAGTCCTTGGCATAATAAACCCTACTCCGGAATTCTGGTGTTGTATGACATTTATTTCTTACAGATCATTTTATTTAACATTTGTGTGTACATCTGATTTTCAGCCGAGATTAAAACACGTATTTCTTACAATCTTGTGGTGAGAAAAGGATGTAGCTGTGGCCATTTTGGTCAAACCACAAAACTGGCATTGTGCTGGCTTTTAGCTGTTTATTAGCAGCCATCTTGAATTGGGAAGACTCCGAAATTAATCAGATGTGGACGCAAAACGTATGTGCTGAAGTTTAAGATAAAGGTGTTGAGCATTGTGAAGCACTCCGAGTATGTGTTGGACAAAATCTAGGGAAAAGGTCAGGGCTGACGCTAACGCTGACGCTGAACTTGTTTAATCACCAGAAAAACGTCCTGATGCATCTCAGTAATCCAGGTAAAAAATCAAAAAGAAAAAAAATTGTGTAGGTCTTCTGGACGGGTTCTTCTCTAATGAAACGTTTCGTCTCTCCTCCAAGAGACTTCTTCAGTCTGAGAGATGTGACTGATAGATGATTAGACAGGCTTCGTCACTTCCTGTTTTTAATCGCTATTAAAAACGCACCTGTTCTCTCAGATTCTTGATTAACTGTGAGTTATGTATTTATTGTTGGCGTTTTATCTTTTATGCTTTTTAAGAATGCTGTTTGCTTTTATATTGATTTTTGCCTTGTGTTCAGTACTTTAGTGATAACTTGTTTTTAAAATGTGCTTTATAACTTGATGATGATGATAACATGGGCCGTGTCATGTTACATTACTAAAGACTTGCTGCCTCTCCACATTAGGGGTGTAAGAAAATATCGATACACTGAAATATCGCGATATGTCATTTTCCGATACTGTATCAATATTCTAAAGCCCTGAATCAATTTTTTATTAAGGTTTAAAACGTCAACTTTCCTGCCAGCCGTTCATTTTTATGTTGTAGTTCAGCCTCTG